GAGATTCTATGCAAGAATACAACTCTATCATCTCTAGATCTTACCTTTAATGAACTTGGTTATGAAGGAACGAAAATATTTGCAGAAGTCCTTAACAAAAATATCGCAATAACCTCTTTAGTTCTTGGTTATAATAAGTTGGGCTTTGAAGGTGTAAAAGTACTTACAGAGGCTCTTTACAAAAATATAACTTTGACTTCCTTAAATCTTGATGGTAATCGACTTGGCTTTAAAGAAGGCAAGGCATTGGCGGAAGTTCTTTGCAAAAACACCACTTTAACCAGTTTAAGTATTTATAATAATAATCTTGGTTTTGAAGGAATAAAAGCGATAGTAGAATCTCTTTACAGAAACCAAACTTTAAGCTCTCTGGATATAGGATGTAATAATATTAGCACTGAAGGAGTAAAAGTAATGGCGGAGGTTCTTTGTAAAAACATTACCTTAACTTCTCTAAATCTTGGTCGTAGTCAACTTGGAATTGAAGATGGTATGATATTGGCAAAAGCTCTTTGTGAAAATACTACACTGACTTCTTTGATTCTTTATGACAATCAACTTGGTTCTGAAGGTGCGAAAGCATTGGCGCAAGCCCTTTACAAAAACGTTAACTTAACTACTTTGAATCTTAATTGTAATCAAATTACTTTTGATGGAGTAAAAGCATTATCAGAAGTTCTTTATAGAAACACAGCTTTGACTTACTTAGATCTTAGTGATAATAAATTTACTTTTGAAGGGGTAAAAGTGCTATCAGATGCTCTTTGTAAAAATACCTCTTTAATTAGTTTACGACTTTCTAATATTCTATTAGGTGTTCCTTGCAAAAACACTTCTTTAATATTAGCAGAAGTTCTTTGTAAAAATATAACAATAGAATATTTAGATCTTAGTAACAATCAACTTGGTTATGAAAATGTAGAGATATTAATTGAAACTCTCCGTGAAAACACTACTTTAACTAAATTGTCAATTTATGGTAATCAGCTTAGTTATAGAGAATGCAAAATATTGGCAAAAAATCTTTACAAAAGCAATATTTCATTATGTTTTGATTATTATTATAGTTAATTCGTAATATTAAACATTGCATTCAACAAACCCATGCGTTTGATTTTATATTTGTCTACGAAGGAATAGAATTAATCAAGTTATTCATTATGTAAGCATTCTAAAAGCATTAAAAGTTTTTTTTCTATAATATACATTATATCGGCCAATTAATTTTATATCTAAAGATAGCTAAATATTAAATGAATAATATCAAAGCTTTTTCAACAGTTAATTTATCACACTAGCATATTACTTAAGTTAAATAAAGATAAGAATCGATTTTATTATAGCCGTCTTAAGGTGTTAATCAAATTATACGTAGCGCCTTACAAAGAGATGTGACCTCATGATTTTTGTAATGATTTTGTGAATGATGAACGAGACATTTTCTGAAATTCTAGTTGTCAATTGATCAACTATATTTTTTGATTAGTCATATTTTGACATTTATTTGAAATCTTAAAATTTCCCAATTTTCTCGTTGCATCATAATTTGATAAGTTCCTTAAATTATACAACTAGTAAGGCACATTTTAATGACTTTGCAGCCAAGTTCAAATAATTTAAAATGAATGATCTTTTTTCGTAAATAATTCAAAAGATATTACATAAGTTTGTAATTGTGAATATTCAAATAATTTTACATAAATTAATTTGCGTAAGTTTAGTTAACAGTAGATTTGCAGGTGAACCTAATTAATTTCACCAGGTGAAACTGGTGAAACTTGTGCATCGACAGCACCGACAGTGCACCTTAATAGCAAAATTGGTGAAACTGGTAGTGTTGGTGAAATTGATGATATTGATGAAACTGTGATATTGATGAAACTGGTGATATTGTTGAAAATGGTGATATTGGTGAAAATGATGATATTGGTGAAACTGGTAATATCACAATATCACCAATTTCACCATTTTCATCAATATCATCAGTTTCACCAATGTCACCGATTTTACCAACTCCACCGGTTTCACCAGTATCACCAATGTTGGTTGGTGATTGGTGAAAATTTGCACCATTTAAGATTATAACCCGAGCCACAAGAATATTGTGAGGCTCCTAGATGCGAATGGAGGCTTAAAAATACAGATCAATTTCGATGGTTGTTATTTCCATCCTACGATAGACAGTAAATATGATCATACGATAGGTTGTTGGATGATCGTTATTGTTGGTCATGGATTGTTGGGTAAACCAGTTATTGTTGGCCCTTAATTATTGGCATTGCAACAATCGTTGTTAGCCACGGCTGTGGGAATTGTTCTTGGCCCGCAAGCAACGATGCTTTACAATGTTAAAGTACAAGAAGATAGCGCAGTAGTTCATAATGAATTAAAATGTATTAAAGCTTGAGTTTTCGCCTTAATAAAGTTCCTTATAGACTGGATTGTCATAAGTAATATTTGAATTTCATGGATTACTTTGTTTTATTGGTTAGTTATCTTATTTTCTTGTTGTACGTATTGTATTATTGTTACATAATAAATTGTGTACCCTAGCCATGGAAAAAAAAGTTCGAGTCACGTGATAACTGATAAAAATCTTTAAGCTTATTTAGATTATGGTTAGGGTTCGAATCAGGGTTAGTGTTAGAGAATGATATAGGTAAAATTACCTCCCCGGAATTTTTTGTTAGCGCACAGAAGGTTGTTTCTTATGAAGTTTGTCGAGAAATAAGCGATTTCTTCTAATTTTCTTTAGAACGAACGTTTGTTTTGAATTTTCCTGATCGTGTTACGTTACACCAATTGGGAATCGTTATTGGTTAATTTTTGCCATGGCTAGGGTACTCACTTAAAGTGATTTATACAGGTAATATGAAAATGAGAAATGTATTTAATGTGTTACTATAATCATCGGCATTTAAAAGACTATCATCATAGCTATATAATTTATTAAAAACATTTAAATTAAGATTCTGATGACTTTAAAGCTGTAATCATTCAAGCAATAATTTAATTCCTTCAGAGTGTGGGATATTTTATTTTGAAATTAAAATTACAAAGGAAAAAATGGGTAATATTAAAAATTATTTCATCAAACCCATTCTGACAATCCCTTTAACAATCTTACAGATACTTGCAAATAACCATTCTACTTCATCAACTCTATAATTTGGAATTGCTACGGACACAGCAACACGTGACTTATCGCCTTATCGGCACAGCAATGATCGACATAAGTACCCCAAATTTTTACCCAATAGGATTTTAGATAGTATCATATAGTAGGTTATGGCACAGATCCAATTAATAAATTCAGAAGTTTTTTAAAACTTCTAGCGATGATTTCTCAATAGCTACATGATAAAATTCAATAAAACCTTTTTTATTCTATTTCTATACTTTTGTAGAATTAAACCAAAAAAGTTTTTTGAATTTGGTAAAGTGGTTATCGAGAAATCATCATTAAATTTTTAAATTTGCAAAATGAAAATTGGTAAATTTTTTTCTTTTTTGAACTTTAAACAAAAATTTCTCGACAGAGTGTGGCAGCCTAGTGAAGTGGTCTAGTTATCACCCTACCAAGCAGCAGGTCTAGAGTTCAAATCCCACAGATGACATTTTTCAAAAAATAGATTTGCATTAGGTAACAATTATCCATCGATCAGTTGGATCTAGAAATTGTAATCTTGGTTGCACCATCTTGAATAGGAGCTTTGGTGCAGAAATGCCAAGAAACTGGGATGATCGAAACCTATTTGGGAAGACCTGAGTAAGAAATAACTACAATCTTCAACAATGCTACAAAAAAGACCTGAATTTGGAAATTAGGACCAAGATTGGAGAACCGAACAACAACAAGATTCTTTAGTAGGGGGATTTACTAACCCGACTGCCAACTTAGAAAAGCTGGAAATCTGCAAGACCATTACAGAGTATACCAACCCTGGCCAGCTAGCATGAAAAACCAGTGGTGGGGGCCCTACCCACCAAGACCAGGAGTTATGAAAGTCGAGTGGGAAACCAGTCAGATGGAAAAATACTAGGTGTGTTTGGAGAACCAGCCAACCAAACTAGAGGAAAAAGACATG